CTGGACATTCTTCCACGATGTGATTGGCTGTCTGATTGTCGTGTCCGCAGTCGCATTGTGGTGTATCCTTAAGTCCCCATTTATGCAGCATATTTCTCGTTTTTCCGTGGCCAGTCCTAAGTCTATTTAAGGTCACCCATTCTTTTCGAGGTAGTTGKAACCCCGGGGGCCTTTCCGTAGGTTGTTCAATGATACTAAATTTGTCAGGGTTATCTAGTCTCCATTCATCAGTCCATTTAGAGTTAAGGTTATAGYTTTCCTTACTTAATTGCTGTGCCAGCTTCCATGGAGGTTTACGGGATTTTATCCTTTGTTTGGGATTATTATTTATGTATCTGTGTATAGGTAAGCTTTTATTTGAATCATGATTTTTATATTCTCGGTATAAGGAACTGTATCTTCGGAGGTGAGGTGGAACTATGTTGCTCAGTACTGATAGCCAGGGGACTGGTGTYGACTTAATTGTTCCGGATATTGTCCTCATTGTTGAATTAAGCTGARTGTCTATTTTGTTTGTATGTGAGCTGTTAAGCCATACTGGTGCACAGTACTCGGCTACCGAGTAGGTGAGGGCAAGTGCAGATATTCTAATCGTGTTAGCATCTGAGCCCCAGGTAGTTTGGGCCAGCTTATTTATTAAACAGTTTCGAGTTTTAATCTTTGCTGCCACCTTGGTTAGATGTTTTCTGTATGTCAATGTTCTGTCCAGTGTTATTCCTAAATATGTTGGGTTAGGATTATTTCTTACTTGTAGTTTGTTAAAGATTACCTTTATTTCCTGTCTTGCCTTTCTGTTGTTGAGGTGGAACAGTGTGACCTCAGTTTTAGTTGGGTTTGGTGTGAGCCTCCAGTTGTTACAGTACTTATTTATTTCACTCAGGTCTTCCGTGAGGTGTTTTTCGCAGAGTTCATATGTCTTTTCTTGGCACAAGAGGGCGATATCGTCTGCGTAAATAAATTTATTTGACTTGGTATTGGGTAGATCACTAGTGTATAARTTAAACAGTAGGGGAGCTAAAACAGAGCCTTGTGKCAGCCCGTTGTTTAGGGTTTTTTGTTTACTTTTTCTATCACCTATAACTACTGTGATAARTCTATTGCTCAACATATTATTTATGATACCACTTATTGTTTTGCATGGTATAATCTGTAGGAGTTTAGTGATAAGCCCATCGTGCCATACCGTGTCATATGCTGCTGTGAGGTCAATAAAGACTGCAGCTGATTTTAAACCTTTCTCAAAGCCGTCTTCGATGTTTGCGGTCAGAGACAGAACTTGGTCGCAGCAATTCCTATGTGGTTTGAATCCGGCCTGTTCTATTGGAATAGTTTTATTCACAGTTTATGCGATACGGTTGTAAATAAGTCTTTCAAAAATTTTGTAATTAACACTCAGTAGGGAAATCGGCTGATAGCTTTTGATGTCATTATCTGGTTTCCCCGGTTTTAAAATAGCCAGGATTTTCGTCTTCTTGAATTGCTTAGGGAACCTCCCAGACCTTAATATATTTGTGAAGAACGTTGCTAGCCATTGGCGAGTCTTAGGTCCACAATTCTTTAGGAATTCTGGGAATACTTCGTCGAATCTCGCTGCTTTACCAGTTTTAATTGCCTGTATTGCTATTTGAATATCAGGTTCAGTGAAATCGTTCGCAAAGTTTGATGTTATTTCCGCGTTCGTTTTCAGTTCTTTCAATTCCTCTTTAGTATTTCTTGTTGCGTTTTTGTTAACTTTTGCCCTGGTTAGCTCGAGAATGCGGTTCGCGAAATTATTCGTCTTGATTTTCACAGCACTATGTTTTCGTTTAGAGTTTGGGTCTATTTTCCTTAGGAGATTCCATGCTTTTCTACTCGAATTTTTGAAATCGATATTTTCTACTGTCTTTATCCATTTTTCCCTACGGGTTTTAGAGAGGGAGGAGAGAAGTTCGTCAGCTATAAGGTTATCATTATTTTCTTGGTACTCATTGTAAAGGTCCTCGCTTTCTTGGCTCCAACCAGGTATATATTCTTTTCTGTATCATCTGGGTATATGTTTCTTAGCTATCCCAGTCAGAAGGCCTGTAAAACGGTTGTAGTTTTTGGCTTCTAGACTTATCCATCTGATACAGTCGTCAAGCTGCTTACTAAATCCGTTCCAGTTGGCTTTATTAAAATTCCATCTGGGTTTCGGGAGTGATTTCACAACTGRGATCTGTATACCGATATTCACAACTACAGGCCGRTGTTGGCTGTGAGGRAAATCATTATAGACTTCTMTACTAATTGGTATGGTATGGCCTTTATGRTCTTTTGTTATGAAGCATAGGTCCGGATTGTAGTCTCGTTGCCATCTCCCTGATCTAAATGTACYTTTGTCTTTTGCATCGAATACAAGTTCTATATTTTCTCGTTCAGCCCATTCATTGAGAGTATCTCCATTATTGTCATTRTTATCATAGCCCCAAAATTGGYGRTGGCTGTTAAAATCACCGGCAATTATTCCAGGGTGGGCTATGGGCATGAGGTCGGTGTTGAGCCAGTTTTCATTTGGTGGTTTGTATATGTTAATGATACTTAGTTCATTAATTTTTATATGGATGGCTGTGATGTTGCTGCGTTCATAAGTGGATATGTGTTCCCAATTAGGTATGTCATTACGTATATAGGTGG